CGTTTGGAAGATTATAGGGAGTGCTTGTTTAAATTAAAAATTAAAAATAGTAGCCCTGTTAGACGCATTCATCATTCGAGGAGAATCTCAACAATTTTAATTTGGCTGCAATATGACGTTTTGTGACGAATTCTGTTTAACAGTACAGTGCAAGAAAAATCATAATAAATCATGTGATTGCTACGAAATTAAGTTCATTTGTTCTTGAAGCTGTGGATGATATGACAAAGCCTTAAGGGTATTGTGTGTTAACCTTAAACTTGAAATCAGAACATTGTAGCCTAAGTGCTCTAAAGATAAGGCTATATATTATGCCTTGTTTGCAGAGGCCTACATTGGTTGGCCTACTAATTACAGTATGTGTATATAGGCCTAAATCACGTTTTGTTACTTAGCATCATAATCACGGATAGCCTAATTTCATTAACATCACTGATATTAATATATAACATAAATATATATATAATATATATACATATATATATACAGTATATATATATTGTTATATTAATAACAATAGGTATATCATTGTTTAAAATAATAAGTTTAGGGCGCAAAACCTCCGCAATTGGAGTGTTTGTACCGGGCACAGACACCCCAAATTTCGAGTTTTCGCGCATAGTACAAAAGAACTCCGAAATCGGAGGATTGATTAAAAGTTTTGTTCTCTATAGGGAGAACTTGTTTAATAATAATAGGTTTAGGGCGCATAACCCCCGAATCTGGAGTATTTGTGCCAGGAGCAGAAATTCCGATTTTGGAGTTTTTGCGTATAGTACGGTACGTAAAAACTTGGAAATCGGATGGTTGGCGCCTTGCGCAGACACTTCAAGATTGAAGTAAATTTATACATGGAATCTGCTAGGATAATAGGCTAATTATGAACATAGAGCAATGATACAACTGAAAGATCTGTATAACAATTGACAATTTAAAAAAAAAAGTACAGGGAAACTGTAACTTTGCTTACGATAAGAGCAGCTTAGCTCAGTCGGCTAATGTGGTGGTAGCCACTGTGTGTGCGCTGAATCGTGGAGACCTTAGTTCCTGGTTCAATTCCCATCGCTGCCCCTTCTTGTGTTTCAGCTAGAGGGCCGAAATACAAGTTACAATAGCGCTCCGTCTTTCGGATGAGACGTTTAAGCCGTTGGTCCCGTGTGCAATAATGGCCGATGTGCACGTTAAAAAACGCAGTACACTCTTCGAAAAATAGTAGGGGGTTGTCTCCCGGTGTACTGCCCAATCACCCTCAGAAGGACCCCACTGGTAATAAGTCTTCTAGACTTTCGTGGGCTATCCTGGGTGTTTACACCGAATAAATCCAATCCAATTCAATAAGGAGGAAGCGTGGATTGAAACACTTTTGAATCCAGTATTCTTTTTACCAAATAATGTACCGGTAACAGATTGTTCCCTGACAGATGTCAACACAAGATTCGTTAGGATGTTTTATAAGCCGCATAATCTGGTTGCTAGGCATGACTAGAAACCCCGTTTTTAATTATCTCAATGCTGTTGGACTGATGCTGATAATAAGGAAGCTTACATAAGCGTAAGAGACACGATTATGTATAATTGTCTGCAACATGGAGAAAGGCCTAATAATAATAATAGTAATAATAATAATAATAATAATAATAATAATAATAGTAATAATAATAATAATAATAATAATAATAATAATAATAATAATAATAATAATAATAATAATAATAATAATAATCGACTGATGTAGATTCATCTATCCAGGTTGACAATAATAAATATCAATTAAAACAAGTTCTTTTGTTTTCTGCTTTGTCCAGAGATATAAAGTTTTAATTGATATTTAATAATAATAATAATAATAATAATACTAATAATAATAATAATAATAATAATAATAATAATAATAATAGTAATAGCAATATAATAATAATATTTATAAAACGAATGTTTGCCCTCGTTTGTGTCCTAAAAACGAGACACACTAATCCTACTCTTTATGTTTGTCCTTTGCATCTGAAGGCTCATTCCCCATTGAGTAGGCCCTATTGTAAGTGCGCTATTGAATGAGGATATCAAATTGATAATGATAGATCACTATCGTATCCTCATTGTCATTCTTTTCTCTTGTTTTTTCGTGTATATTACGTTCAAAATTTATATAAATGCCTAATTATAGTATAACCACAAGACGGATAGTTATTTTCAAAAGTACCTTCATGGAGATTACCCATATTGTCGTTAAATGCTTAATTTGTATTCAATTCCACATTTTATTTAAACATTATAAACAAACATAAAAAAACTAGGAGTGTGTGTTAGGCCTATATTGAAATGTTGTGTGAAAAATGAGTTACTTCAATCGTATTTGAATTCCCAACGAATTTACAGCTAACCAGTTCGTTATGGCTTCTGCATGTACAGCAGAAGGTCATGGGTTGAGGTCCCGATAGGGGCATTTCCCGACTCGCAGATTCTTCTTCTTTGACGTTCAGAATTAATATTTATATATTATATCATTATCATTTTAAAACCAATATTGAAACGTAATGATGTATTTGTTATCAGCCTTTTATATGTATCCATGTTAGTATGCATGCATAATGTCAACTGGTGCTCGCCTAATACGATTTAATTACCCGTATGTTGAGCGAGCGTGCAATAAACGCAACTTGCAGCGTATAATATACTCATTGAAACATGGAGCTTGGAATAATAGCAAGAACCGTAATAGTCACCAACCTAGTTGTAAATTTGCAGTCCTAATTATTCACCGATTTACGGTATCACATATCGGCATCATTCTTACTAAAGTATCTATCGGCATCCACCACAGAACTACCTATAACTTAAATCATAAATAATATGATAATGATTACATGCCGTAATATATGCTCAAATGCATGAAACACAATTTTCAGTCAAGTTGTTAATTTTCTGTCCTAATTAATCTCCTATTATAGCTCGTCTTATATTAAAACCACCAATACTAGATTACCTATAACTCTGTTAAAGATGGTTATGGTTACAAATGTAGTAATTGTGTGTACTGCAGCAATACGGTACAAAATGAATGACACATTTGGAATACTTCGTCAGTATCGCTTGTAAATTTAATCGATTTGACATCTGCTATTAATAGTAGCATGTCTAAAGGTACTTTTTGTTTTATTTTATAAACAGGTGTATATGGACATAAGTAACCATTTCTCTTTCCTGCTAAACATGGTCATCTTCAATTCAGAACCCCTCGTTTTTTGTTTACTTCTGTTATTCTTCCTCAGTATATATGCATTCGCATGACGTGACTTTCAGATCTGTTTAACGTGTATTATTTTGAGGCTTCATATTGTATTTTGTTTGATCTGTGTAAACATTGAATGGACTTTAAGAAAAAATAACACTTAATGACTGATGCAGCCATAACTATTTGAGTTGAACAATGCCCGATGCCTAAGTTATTGCTGATGCTTTGCTATTAAATTATTGATTAATATCTTTAAAATAATGTATTTATAACATTCAGAAAACACAGAGATACAACTAGTTTGGTGTGAATGCCTTTATTTTTGTTTATAAATACGTTTGCATGTGGGACCTAACTATATTATCGTTGTTTAACTTTCATTTTTGATTGAACCAAAATAACATCGGCATTTACCCGGACGTTTCGATTACAATCGGCGATCTTTTTCAACACTCTTAACACAGTTACTACAGTATTAAACAACAAAGGAGCAGACGGGGCCCAGACCAACATCAGCGCATCGGACTGATGATTTCATGACCACACTGAATACCGTAACAACACGGTAAGTTGAAAAAGATCGCCGGTTATGATCAAAACTTCCAGGTAAATGCCGATCATTATCATTATTATTATTATTAATTTATGCCCTATGTACGTAGGCTATTATAGTAATAAGCAATTAGTAAAGTTGCGTATCATACATTAGTAAGCAATTTTTCGGGTTCTAATCAACCCTGTTTTACGAAAGTCACTTTTCAATTACCACTTATCACTTGGCCTAGTGTGTCCGCACGCGTCGTAGAATTCATCGCGGTGCGCGATACCTACTCTTTACAAGTTGTTTTTAACTTTTGCACAACCGTAAAAACGATCTGTCTCTTATACACATCTAGATGTGTATAAGAGACAGGAGATACAACTAGTTTGGTGTGAATGCCTTTATTTTTGTTTATAAATACGTTTGCATGTGGGACCTAACTATATTATCGTTGTTTAACTTTCATTTTTGATTGAACCAAAATAACATCGGCATTTACCCGGACGTTTCGATTACAATCGGCGATCTTTTTCAACACTCTTAACACAGTTACTACAGTATTAAACAACAAAGGAGCAGACGGGGCCCAGACCAACATCAGCGCATCGGACTGATGATTTCATGACCACACTGAATACCGTAACAACACGGTAAGTTGAAAAAGATCGCCGGTTATGATCAAAACGTCCAGGTAAATGCCGATCATTATCATTATTATTATTTTTATTAATTTATGCCCTATGTACGTAGGCTATTATAGTAATAAGCAATTAGTAAAGTTGCGCATCATACATTAGTAAGTAATTTTTCGGGTTCTAATCAACCCTGTTTTACGAAAGTCACTTTTCAATTACCACTTATCACTTGGCCTAGTGTGTCCGCACGCGTCGTAGAATTCATCGCGGTGCGCGATACCTACTCTTTACAAGTTGTTTTTAACTTTTGCACAACCGTAAAAACGATCAAGCAAACCATGCAGCACGGTTGGGAATAGGAAAGTAACATTAAGTAGTCACATTGATGTCACGATTCACTCATAATAACTATTATTGGTATCCTTCACATCCAACAGCAAGTAGGCCTACACCCGCCACTTACAGGATATTAGTATCACTATACTATCATGTACATGTACGAAAACTAAGTAGATTAGTAAACACATAAGGTAAAAAAATAAATTACTATGACATAAAGAAAATAGAAATATAAACAAATCTCAAATCTTACCATTGTCAATCAAATATTCCTGTTTTTCAGAAAATTTGTCCCTGCATTTTTTGAAACACTGGTCCATAGCGCCCTCACTGATTACAAACTCGCGGTGAAGTTAGATGTTTGCGGATTTGTCTATTTGGTGAACAAATAATACCTTACGAAAACAGTATCTGGAAGTTACACGCTTTATGACATCACCAATCAGTAGACTCAATCGATAGTCAAGAAATTGCAAACGGTTGATATCCTTTCAATACACGTCTTTGTAGATTTACAGTAACTGGAAATAGATGGAATTAAAATAAGCTAATCCAATGTGTTAGTGAGCATATGCTAAACGAATCGAAACTTTACAAAGCCTGATAGAATTTTGTTTATGTAACTGTAGTTGAATGATCTGGCAAAGTATTTGATACGGACTTTTTTGTGTGTTTAATTTCAAACCCATTTATATTTACATATTTCTATGGACGAACGTTATTGGAACTGTAGCGCACACATTTACAAAACGAAACCAACCGTCATGACCTTGATGGAAAGATTCAAGAAACTGAAGACTACTCATTGCAACATCTGCAGACGATGGGGAAGCAATGAAGCGGAAATTCTACTTGAAAATTGATGAGCACACGCTTAAGTATATTGCTGGTTGATATCCATCATATTGTGGTCTGTTGTTTCGGAAATGACTGGAGTGTACTCCTTCAACCATTACAAACGATATGTGACGTTAACTACGCTCAAAATATTATTGTCACTCAAAAATATTGAGAAAGTATTTTTTTAAAGATAACAAATTTAAACGTAAATCACAAAGTTAGTAACTTTCACTAAGTCAAAAAAACACACAAATTTTTTTTTTAATAGTATTGACGTAATTTTGGGGAGGATTTTTTTTCTTGTTTAAATTAGCAGCTGAAGATTTAAATCTATTGGAGTAAAGTGCCGTAAGTAATTCATTTTTTACTTAAGTTTATTAGATTTAGCGCCTACGTAAGTACTAATTTTAAGAACACACAGAAACACACACTTTCACCAGCGAGCTTGTAAATTGCGCATTACTAATACTATAGATACAGTACATGTATTAGGCCTAACGATCTTATGTACTCCGCAAAGTTGGTCAAGAATAGAAAATTAATTCTCATGGGCGTGTATGTAATCGGGTAATCACTGTGTGTTAATTAAACATTAAGATTTGTTTAAATCATTACATTGGATACGTTTATACATCAGTGGAGCTTTACGATCCTCGTTAGACACTGCCACCATCCGTGACAGATACATGTGAGGCCAAAAAAGTAGTCGTGTTGGCCACGCAGTGACATTGCAAATACCAGATTTATTGTTATTTTCTTTTTGGTTCCTATGCTTTCAAGTGAAGGAACCTTCGTGTATGTATGTGTGTATGTATGTGGCATGTATGTTACGCTGTTTTTTGGTAAACAGGCAAAATTGGATATGACGTCGTGCCCTATTCATTAATTTTCTATTTTGACAAATATTGAAGCCATAACTAATGAAAGACAATACCCCCTACCCTTGAAGAGACTAGTAAACACTATGATAGGAGGAAAACATTTATGGAATGTTGTTTACTTTCGTTGTCCAACTAACTGTCTTAAATGTGATGGATTAGACTCTAGGGACTTTCCTGGGTAGTTGGACAGAAAACTTTATCTACACCCCAAAAACCTTCAATTTTATACTGTGGTTTGGATAAGGGTCTACAGATACAGCATAGAATTGTGTTGTGGTTTGATAAAAACAAACTTGATACTTGACAGGATACTGTAATCCTTTTGCAGCTTTTATCGGAAGCTAGACTATACAGTACGGTATAGTGAAACCATTGTTGGCTCCGACCCATACGGTAGTTAATGTAGGGCACCCCCTCCCCGCACCACCACCGGACAGGTCATGTCCCCCTCCCCCTATCAAGCAGAGCTCGTCGGGCATTTAGACTAAAACAAATATAAAAATAGGCCAAGCCAACACATGTCTGTCACAGTCTGAGTGTCATTTCTGGCCATCCAGAGGGAACACCCTCACAAAATCTTCCACAAGCTCCAGCCTACGAGCTCTAGTCCACCTTGGCCCCAGAAAATATATCCTACAGCCGCCACAGCTACTTGCCTACACCTTTATATCATTAGCACTAAACAAGCAGAACAAAACAAACCTGATGCTAATATTAATAATAAAATAATAATAATAATAATAATAATAATAATAATAATAATAATAATAATAATAATTATTATTATTATTATTATTATTATTATTATTATTATTATTATTATTATTATTATTATTATTATTATTATTATTATTATTACTATTATTTTGGCTTAAATAGCGCATTATTCTAAAGCCTTGATGTGCTTAACAATAAAAATAGAACTGCCGGATTAACACTTGAGGTCTCCCTGATTTTATTTGTTGGTCAACCTGGTCATCGCAAATACAGTACTGCAATATTTCACGAATGCCCGCATAGGAACCTTCGGCCTCGCAGAGGTCTGTTTTTTTTTGTTTTTTTTTTTGTTTTTTTTTTTGTTTTTGTTTGTTTGTTTTTTTTTTTTTGCTGAAGCCGAGAACTAATTGTAGAATTCACGGTCAACGATCACTCGCCACATTTATCGCGGGTTGTTTAAAAAAAAAACCACTGAGTAAAATCCATATTTTTTGGTAATTTAATTTAAGTTTTAAAAAAATACAAGTATGTCTCCAGCTAAGAAAAAAAGTCTTTAAAATACATGTTAGGTCAGTCGGACTTGTGAAAACCAAACCTTTTCGGAATTTATCGCGTAAATTCTGTTATGTTGTTAGAAAGCCGTTAATCATTAATATTGTCAAACGTATCAACTGAACATTTCTTAAAAGCCCATTAACATTTGCTACCGGACACATCACTATTGTTAAAGCTCTCTAAATTGATATCTTACTGCCATATCTTAATTTTCAACAAACTTTCTAATTTCAGAGAGAGTGCGTAGTTGAGATTGTACACGCTGATCCATTGAGTTAACCAGTAAGGACTATTGACACGTGCAAATGAACATAGAATTCGGTTGAATAAATCAAAGTTAATATTATTTTGTTGGTAAGCCAGAACGATATTACATTTATTTATATTCTTCCCTTTTCCATTCTCTCTGTTTTAGAACATAATGAATGTCTAATTGGTTTTTTATTCCTGTTGGAAGTGTTACTTGATCCTTGCGTGATAGTTATTATTTTTCGATTCCCACCAAAATCACTTTCGAAATTTTTTTCACAAGTATTTTGGGACGTACTGAGTATTTGGTACGATAACACGTCAGGTAGGGCAAAACATCACTCCTATGATAATTATTTTCCTGACGCAAACGCACATCGAAATAGAATTTGCTGTACCCGTTGCTGCTTTGGGATCGAATTCAACACTGGTCACTAAGCGCAATCTCGGTGGTCTAATGGTTATGACGCCAGGCTAGTTTTCTGGAGGTCGTTGATTCGATTCCTACCGGAATCACTTGCTAATTTATTTTTCACAAGTATTTGGGGACGTACTGAGTATTCGGTAGTATAACACGTCAGGTAGGGAAAAACATCACTCCTATGATATTTTCCTGACGCAAACTCACATCGAAATATCATTTGCAGTACCCACTGCTACTTGGGGATCGAATTCAACACTTGTCACTATAGCACAAACTCGGTAATCTAGTGGTTGTGGCGCCAGGCCTGTTGTCTTGAGGTCGTGGGTTCGATCCTACTAGAATCACTTGCATTTTTTTTTTTCACAAGTATTTGGGGATGTACTGATTATTCGGTAGGATAACACGTCAGAGGACAAATACGCTAGGTCACCCTCTTAAAAAAAATCAATTTTTCAATCATCATTAACATTGCCATCGTCATCAGCACTGTCATCATCATCCGTCATCACAATCACTACCAATTATCATCCTCTTCAATATCATTATTTAAATCAGAATATACAGTCGAACCTACAGACGTTTCGTTGATTATCAATCCACATTCTCAAATGTTGAAATTCTTGAAGTAGGATAATATTAATAATATTGTTTTTGTTTACATTATAAACAGTGTTACATATATTTTACTAGGCTCATACACCATATAATTTTACAACTAATATTATTATCATCATTACTGTTATTCAGTAAAGATTATAAGAGGAATACACCATTACTAACGTCATAAATATGTTGCTAATAATAAAGCTGCATATTAATAGCTTCTAATGAACTCCTCGCACAGTAATTCGGTAGGCCAATAACTATATAACGACCCGTTAGTCATTGTTATTCAAATAAATAAAAAATATAACATTCCTTATAATCCAAGTTAGCATATACAGAATATCAAAGTATGCTTGCTTGTCTGCTAGTAAAACCAATAACAATAATTAGGCCTACACAAAAAATTGTAATAATTAGTGTAACTCGTCGGATTCAAAAAAAGTTAACAGTGATAATGTATAATAGAGTGTGTTCTGTCAAAAATGGCACGGTGATTAGTAACTGTAAGAAAATCTTACCCTTTATAAATTTAACGGCATCCACGGCTTGACTGCAGAAGAAATAAACGTACCTCGAACGTATTTGACGGTTTTATTCCTTGATCTTTCGGATATAGGTGGACACGTGCAGGTTGCCCCAGGATACTGAGAATAGCGTGTCTGAAACAACGATATAGATCATAATTCAAAAACGAAGCCTTCGATGGCCTAATAGTTAAAATCCAATATTGTCGGATCAGAGTCTTCGCGGGCTTATACTTCTTCACGGAAACATAATACAACCCAAGTGAACAGTCTGTATTGTCTACAGCTGCCCAAGTAATTTCCACACACGTCTTGCTGACTGCCAACTTTGTTATTGGTTAATGCAGTGCGCAGATGCATGCGCAGACGCATTCCCATTTCATTAGTTATAATTCGGTGCGATAAATATCGTGAAAATTCTGACATAAACCCCTTTGTGTCATAATTTTTGTTTTCAAACTACATTTAATGATCTGATTTTGTTAAGCCTTAATACATTTGAAGGATTCCGTGACATTTATTGTTTTTATTACAAAGATCAAGTTTATGCAATTTGTATTATATTATTATCATTATAGATGTAACTTCTTCATTATTATCATCTTTATGAATGTTATTATTGATAAGCCTATTACCATAATGACAATCATTAGGCCCTATGTTATTGAGTTAGTAATTTTTATTACACACATCTTGCTATAAATAGTTATTATTATCATTATTATAATCGTTATCGTCCATCATCATTATCATTGTAATTCCTATCGTTATCATTGTCGTGCCATCATCATCGTAGTTATCATCATTATCATGACCACCATCATCCTTATCAATATTATTATTTTATTTCTATTTATGTCAATCCACGTAATAAATAAATATGCGCCTTAATCCCTAAACTACTCATGACTTGGGAATATTTTCTGTTCTCGGTAAATCTCATGATTTTGCAAACATTTAACATCCATCAAGCTCACCTTTGTACGTGTAAGAATAATATCCATATATTGACACATTGTGACTATAGGGATTTTAAATATAAATTACTATTGAATAGGCTATGTTCATAGTAAACAGGATTGTTTGAAAGTCAGATTGTCCTTATAACTATGTAAATTGATGAATGAAGAGCATTTGTGTCATGAGATGAAATGTAGAAAAGAGAAGAAGTGCTTTATAATTCAATCGAAAAGATGCCTATGTCTCGAGGCCATTATGATGTGATTCATCACAGTAAATATCGGCTATGGATAAATTTAGTTTTACTGAAAGTAGGCGCAGTGTTGGTTTATTTTATACGGCCAATTAAGTACTCAATGAGGGCTCATAGAGCATGTGTTATTCGCTTGAAATTGCGTCATGTGATCACCTTTTATCAGCTAATAAATGACAATTAGTACCGTATTGAACGAAACTTGAACTAAAACTCGTAAAAATATTATAAAAGTTCAAGTTTAAGGAAAGTAACTGTCCATGTCTTTATGTCTCGCATGGAGTCGATTAACCTGTCCATATTTGCGATTAAATCATCGAGTTTAGCCAAAGTCAAGTACATTTTAGCCCAAAATTAGGATTATTATGTACGGTATAGTTTATTCACGGACCCTAAATTACCAATCGTGCTTGTGGAAATTAAAGATTCAAAGTTTTTACTACAGCAGCTCCGGCGTCCTTTCAATCCATGGTGTTATTGAACCTAAGACCGGGTATTTCCTGCGTGCCATCGCCATAGTAAAACTAGTGCTGGATGTCAACGGTATTAATACGGACTAAGACTCGTCACGCGGTATCCTCTGAGGGTATGGAAGGATTATTACAAAAATAGATTTTAATCCAAAAAGGATTAGTTTAACGCCGTATCCTATATGCGGTAACGAGGTACCATAACGATGCAACATACTGAGCCTCCACAGTGTCTACGTCTCGAGGACTAGTTCAAAATCACATGTTCTATTTCGCTTGATGGGATTATAAATACCATAATGATCACCACCGCGTATATATAAATTATTGACAAATTCAAACACCAAGGTTAATTTTACTAAAGCCATTGCCCCTTGTTCTAAAAATATACATTTTGGTGATTGTCGATTATCTTTATCGCATTTCGAAGTCTTCCCTGTAATGTCTTGCATGATTGTGTCGTATGGATATCTTCCTGTTTAAACTACAATAGATATACAATCTCTGTGGCCTCTTGTAAATCAAAACTTTTCTTATATATTACGGATCAATGAACTAAAAGTATTAACATTTTAGACTACGTGTCAGGCCTTACTGAGTAAATGAAAGAAAAACAGAATCTTTAAACAGTTGAAGACAGTTTAACCGACGAAGAGAACGAGACCGTCATAACTAGTAGTTTAGGTTCTGAAACTAAGTAGACATGTTTCATTTGGCTCTACTACAGTTATTGTTATTAGAGTTTAAAGATACAACCTCAGCTCTGTATACCAATCTGTATTATAAATTTAATGGACGTAGATTTTTTTTTAATTGCCTGACTAAAATATTTTGTCTTTGTATTTTTTTTTTGTTCTTGTTTTTTAGTATTGATTTGAATAAAGATAAGTGATTAAATGCACTTTTTGTACAGCAACTGAAAAAAAATGTTCACCGTAATCATGCGAATAAGCGCCCCGTTTGAATAAGCGCCTAAAAAAATCAACCATACAATACAGTACAGAACATTACCAACTTAATTTTCTGCATCAATTCGCATGCATCTTAGCATTGTTGGTCGGTCAGTCCATCTATCCATATGTCGGTCTATGCTCTATAAGTCTTCATTAAGTTTAACATGGTTTTCAGTTTTGATGCATCTTTAGAACGTCGTTCTTGATTTATTGATACTCTTTTTGGATTAAGAACTACAGTATTTAATATCTAAAAATTAAAATACTGTATGGCCATTTAAAAAAAAAACTGACCTCATCACTCTCGTATTTAAGAAAGAAACCCTGCAATGATCCTGCTAATCTGAATTGGCAGAAGGCCAACACGCTTCTACCATCACCAACACCACCACTAATTCATCTGCTGTTGTGTAAATACCCCAAACATTTATGAGCCATGCTCTCTCGACGATTGCATTTTCTTCACCAAAACCATTCGTTTATCTTTGAATAAAAAAAAAAGTGACCCTTGAATTTTCCAATTTCCCATAAGCACCCCTTCAATTTTCATCTATTTCCATAAGCGCCCCCTCAATTTCCACTCTGTTTTCATAAGCGTCCCGTTTGAATAAACGCCCCTCAAAAAGAGCCAAAAATATTTTAAGCGCCCGGGCGCTTATTCGCGCGAGTACAGTAACCAGATGAAGGATTGTTGAGGCATGTGTACGAGCGAGGTTGTTGTATGGAACGCAGGCATGGTACCTATTGGTAAGAAGAGTTAAAGGAACTGAAATCATGTTGGTACTCAATGTTGAGGAGGATGGTTAGAGTAAGGTTTAAAAGGAAGGGATATCATTGAGAAACAAGAAAGCACTACACAAGATTACAGTCTCATTTATAGCAATACTGAATATTATTAGTTCAGTTTCACTACACAACTTTTTAAATGTACAATACCTAAGATTTGTTGGACACATATGCAGGGGACCAAATACATCCATAACGGGAAAAAAATTATGTTTGCTACAGCAAATAAACCATACTACTGAGACCCATGGATTAAAATTGGAAAGATGTTAGGAATAGATGCTAACCAGGCAAAAGCACCAACTCAATCAAGGGAAACTTTCAACAATCTTCTAGTAACAGTTTGTCTTGGACCCTAAACGATTGAATTCAAGTGATGACAGATGGAGGAATACCTAAGTAAGTAAGTAAGTAAATAAATCGTATGTGCAGTGAATGGACAGATTAGGGCTAAATGACATTTAGGAAAAAATATATTTATATTACTATTTTGTCTTGTTTTTATGTATGTATTGAAGGTATCTAATGGTCAGCATCGGCTGGATGGACCACCCTCATTAAAGATTGTCGAAATAAATTTTAAAAATTAAAAATAAAATACACACACAAAAAAAAATACAAGATCAGATATTTATAAGATATTACGTGTTCAGATTACCACCTTTACTTTACGAATTGTCAGTTTCTTTGTGTTTTCTTAGTAGTTTAAGAATTTTTGTTTCTTATAAACAGTAGTTTAATTTGACGTAGTTAAGTAATTTAATTTTTTCATGTTTCTTTCGATTGTTTTTATTTTTTTTTTCTCTTTGGATGCACATTCAAGGTGATGGTTGCCGCTGTTACAATAATGATTCTAAATAAAAACTGAAACTAAACTAGTCTGACAAATTACAGCTACCAAAACCAAAACAAACACAAATCAAGTTATAAAAATATGTATAAAAATAGGCCACCTATATTATGCTAACTCTAGTCATTAAAGGAGCTTCCTCTTGAAAAATACATACCGGTACTGTATAATTATGGGAAAGTGGCGCTGTTGCACAAGCGCGCGACCATTCTCCTGGAATTGGCAACAAAATTCACAAACCGTTCTTTACATTTTGCTTCTAGCAATTTTCATATCAAATTTATGCCACAAATACACTGATTATGACATAAATTTTTTATCATTAGATGAATTACCCTACTTCGGTTTTCGTAATTATTGTTAACATCATCATTTATTTGGCATCATCGCTCATTTTGACATTTATGTATTTATATCAACCCAAAAGAAATCAATAAAAACCTTAATAATGCAAGCATTATCAGGCCTGTGTCTAATGACAAAAATCCATTAAATTTATTATATTTTTAGTATGTTTTTGTTAGTATGTCTATGTACAGGCGTACTCTATGTAGTGCAAATAAATATTATACGGAGAAGTATTGAGAAAGGTGCTGATCATAATAAGTAAGGTAATATAGTTAAATTTGGCACCATAGTAATTAGACGCACAAAAAAGCAATTGTGAGTATTGGTTTTAAACACAAATATACGAACGTACATGATTGCTTATTATTTGTAATTATTAACTTATTCAGGATAAATGCATTAAGAACATTCAATTTTTTTAGTTTAAATTTAACATTATTACATTACTTCTTGTAACGTTTTTCATTGCCAATTAAATAACATTTGTATGACATATGACATAAAGTTTATGTTTATACTGTCAAAGTAGCTTACTTTTCTACATTGCATAATGATACTAATTTTATACATGTATTACAATACATTAGGCCTATATAGATAGTGATAGGGAAACTCAATATTTAGTAGGCCTATTATTATACTATCCTTATATAGGGCT